CATGCTTAAATATTCATCAAATTTGACCCTTTCAGGTTCTTCACATGGTCCGTAACGCCAAGTTGGTGGGCCAGTCCATCATTGCTTACCTGCAGAAGAAGGGCTACCCTGAGGTGGCGCTGCACTTTGTCAAAGACGAGAAGACTCGCTTCAGCTTAGCTCTGGAGTGCGGGAACATCGAAGTAATTGCCGCAGTTCTAGTTTCTGTCCTCCTTTGCTAAAAGCTGTGAGGTCATCGCAGCCATGTCTCTTTTCTCTTTCTCAAGGTGGCGCTGGAGGCGGCCAAGGCACTGGATGAGCGCAGCTGCTGGGAGCGTCTGGGCGAGGCGGCGCTGCTGCAGGGCCACCACCAGGTAGTGGAGATGTGCTACCAGAGGACCAAGAACTTTGACAAGCTGACCTTCCTCTACCTCATCACCGGCAACCTGGCCAAGCTACGCAAGATGATGAAAATCGGTGAGGGAGGGAGAGCATTCCACTTGGTGTGATGATCTCCAACAGTCGCTAAATTTGTGTGTGTTCTTTGTTTGGTAGCTGAGATTAGGAAGGACATGAGTGGCCACTACCAGGCAGCGCTCTACTTGGGAGATGTCAGCGAGAGAGTCCGCATCCTGAAGAATTGTGGCCAGAGTGAGTTAATAGAGCAACTAAAGCCACATTTTGTCTAAATTATCAATAAATATTTTTTTAGATGGTGTGTAAAACACAACTGCTATGTTCATGTCAAAATAGTCAAGTAAGGCAAAAATCTCATTTGAAATGACATACATCCAAAAAAAAATCCACTAGTTAATGCCTAAAAATGACCGACACAATGAACAAAATTTATGACCATATTACCACTCCTAGTTTTCAACAGTTGCATTTCCACAAAAGGTTCCAATCAGGTACAATATGTAATGTTCAGTATTATTGAAAAATGTTAAATGGTTTGTGTTCAAGTGTTTAAAAATGCTCGGTGTATTTATTTTTTTTTAAGAATTTTAATGGTATTAAAAATGCTCAGTGTATTTATTTTTTTTTAAGAATTTTAATGGTATGCAGATAATTTTCTGCATACCATTGCCATAATATTGTTTCAGTATTATTGAAGTGCTATATGCAGATCTCAAAGTCAAATTTTCTGCATTTGTATAATTTTCCACTGTGTTTTAGTTTTAAGTTTTTGCCATAATATTGTTTCAGTATCATTGAAGTGCTATATGCAGATCTCAAAGTCAAATTTATGTATTGTGACATTAGTTCCAAATCAAGTATTTAGTAACATTTTTTATATTGCATGTTTTCCAAGCAGCTATAGCGTTATAAAAAATGTTTTTAATAACATTTTATATTCAAATCACTTTTTTTTGTCCCCCCGGGTAGAGTCTCTGGCTTACCTTACTGCTGCCACACACGGACTGGATGATGAAGCTGAGGCCCTCAAGGAGACGTTTGATCCAGAGAAGGAGACTGTATGTATTCAAATCTACTCCACCAGACTACCATTTTGGCATTAAGACCTCAATTGTTTCTGTCACTTGTAGTTACCCGAGGTGGATCCCAATGCCCAGCTCCTGCAGCCACCACCACCCATCAACCCCCTGGACACCAACTGGCCCCTGCTCACTGTCTCCAAGGGCTTCTTTGAGGGAGCCATCGCAGCTAAGGGTAAAGAGGAACATAAAATGTGACTAAAGTTGAAGTCATTCAGCAGCTTGATTGATGTCGGGATGTTTTGTTTTGTAGGGAAAGCAGGTCAGATGGCCGCCGACCTGGACATGGACGCCTCTGGAGCGGAGGGCTGGGGAGATGATGCCGAGCTTCAGCTTGATGAGGGTAAGCATAGTAGAATGAAGTATTATTACACTGGCGGTAATTTAACCTTTAAAAAAAAATACCCTAGAGGGAAAAGAAAATATCAGTTTGACATAAAGATGCACGCAGAAACAAATATTCCCTGGCTCACACTTTTTTCATGCTCCTCTCACCTCAGGCCATAGGTCATTTTGCATCGGGGGCAGTCTTTCCCAACCTTTTATTGCACCAAGACACATATGTTGAATAAAAACAAACAAATGTCTAAGAAAGTATAGATATTGAAATGATCATCTCATTTCAGTTTATTTACGCTGTGTGAAAAAAAAGTCTTAAAATTTAACTTGCCACGAGCTATCGGAACGCTCTTATTGTAGAGCCAGCTAATTAACGTGTTCCCTCAGATGGCTTCATGGATGCTCAGGATGGCTTCGGCGATGAAGGCGGTGCCAAAGAGGATGGAGGAGGCTGGGAAGTGGAGGAGGACCTGGACCTTCCACCAGAGCTGGTAGGAGAACCTTGATAGATATGGAAATGCCCCGTGGGCCGTATTAAGAAAGGGAGCAAGCAATGTGTGCACCGTGTGGCATCCTTTGTCCATCCCTGGTGTATATTAAATAAAAAAGAAAAAGAGCCTCGCTAAGTACATCTACATCATCAGGACTTGCCAGCCGGTGCAGGCGGATCGGCGGAGGACGGCTTCTTTGTGCCGCCCACCAAGGGAATGAGTCCTACACAGATGTGGTGCAACAACTCGCAGCTGCCGGTGGACCACATCCTCGCGGGCTCTTTTGAAACCGCCATGAGGGTAAGTTGCCTTCTTCCTGACATCGATCATGGAAATGTAACCATTAGTGTACCAGAGAAGAAGTGTTATTGAAAACATTGCTACTTTTCTCCACAGCTGCTCCACGACCAAGTTGGAGTCGTCAACTTTGGCCCGTACAAGTCGCTCTTCATGCAGACTCTGTCCAGGGGCCGCACCTGCTACCTGGCGCTGCCTTCTCTTCCCTGCCTGCGGGGCAATCCCCAGAGGAACTGGAAGGACTGCGGTGCCAAGCAGGGGCTGCCGGCCGTGGGCCTCCGCCTGGCCGACCTCATCGCCCGTCTGCAGCAGTGCTACCAACTGACCACCTCCGGGCGCTTCGAGGAGGCCGTGGAACGCTTTCGGGCCATCCTGCTGTCGGTGCCGCTACTGGTTGTCGACAACAAGCAGGAGATTGCTGAGGTAAGCCAGCAACGAGGTCATGTGTCGGTGTCGGATATTTTCAACAAAGCGAACGCTGAACATTTAATGTACTTATTGATGTGTTAATTCATCATTTTTACCACTGTTGTAGGCTCAGCAGTTGATCACCATTTGCAAGGAGTACATAGTGGGCCTGACTATGGAGACGGAGCGTAAGAAGCTGCCCAAAGACACACTGGACCAGCAGAAGAGACTCTGCGAGGTCAGGCTTGACTCATTATTGTATCATTTTTGTGTGTTTGTTTCCCCGGGCGACCCAGTTTCCTGACGCCGTGTTTGTTTTCCCGTACAGATGGCCGCCTACTTCACCCACTGCAACCTCCAGCCCGTCCACATGGTGCTGGTGTTGCGCACCGCTCTTAACCTCTTCTTCAAGCTGCGCAACTTCAAGACGGCCACCGGTTTTGCCCGCCGCCTGCTCGAGCTCGGCCCCAAGCCCGACGTCGCGCAGCAGGTCAGCCGTCACAATTTTAACCTTTGCATCGTGTGTTGTTCTGCACCAAAATTATTTTTATTTCGGTTCTTTTCAGTATATTTTGTTATCATTTCCTCTTACTTTTTGACACTCTACTCCTTCCAAATTTCATGGCCTATGCATATCATCCAAACATCAAAATATTTACCTCATATAGAGCGAAATACCCATTTTACCCCGGGAGTCGATATTTTCCACACAAGGGGAACACCATTCAAGTGAATGAGACATTAAAAGTTCCTCATCTTTCCCATTCCAACTACATTTCTTGGCCTATTTTAAACCATTCCAACTTCAAATTGTTAATTCCACCACATTTCAGTTCAACGTCAACTTTTCCACACTTGTGTGCAATGACTGCAGAATGGCATTCTTCAGTTTCACTTTATCGTGTTCGAATTTTCATTTTCCTGACCAACTCAGACACGCAAGATTATGGCGGCGTGCGAAAAGAACCTAACAGACGCCCACCAGCTGAACTACGACCCACACAATCCTTTTGACCTGTGTGCTGCCTCCTTTGTCCCGCTGTACCGTGGACGTCCCGTGGAGAAGTGCCCGTTGTCTGGGGCATGCTACTGCCCCTCATACAAGGGCCAGGTGTGCAGGGTGACTCAGGTAAGTTGAAATAAAAGCAGACAATACGATTTGATGGCACTGAACATCACGCTAATGTTTACTTTCACGTTTTAGGTCACTGAGATTGGCAAGGATGTGATCGGTCTGCGTGTGAGTCCACTCCAGTTCCGTTAAGACAAAAGAAAACGTCATCAAATAAAAAAAAATATATAAAAATGAATGACAAATATGTATGCTAGCATTTCCATATATTTCTCAATCAATTATCCTTCAAGAAAGCTATTTTGTTTTGCACCTTTGTCATCTCTTTTGCAGTGGCTGAAATCATTCTGTCAAAATAAAAAATCTGAACTGTGTAACAAGGGGTAGAGAAAAAGAAATAAAACACCTGTCAAGAATGCGACAAATGCATTTTATCTCTATATATGTTTGTCATATGTTTTGGTGTTGGTTTAAAATGTGAATAAATCACACACAAAAATGGAGAAAAGAGACATTCTCATTTTTTATATATGTATATATCATTTATAACAATTTCCATGTGTCTTAAAATATCTAAAGTGCTTTTGTCAAAACACCAAGCTCAGGAATGATCGGCATTTTTTCCCCTGCGTACTTCTTGCCATGGCGGAACTGGCTCGTTGTCTGCGTGACTCAGTTTCATGCAACAAGCAAGGTATTTTTTTTGCGGAACACGCGAATAAAAATGATAATCGTTAGCAAGGCCACGCCCCTTAAAGCACATATCCAAACAGTACTACTGTATGTAGTTGTTTTTTAGGTAATGCAGTGGTCTATTCTGTACTGTATTCCAAACACTACAAAAAGGGTGGCGTTTTTTGCGGCGCAGGAAGGGATTAAAGAAGTTTCAGGGGCCAGGCCGGAAGTCAAACACCAGAACCCGGACGTTTTGTTGTCACAACTTCCTGTTGTGTTGGTCTTCTTTCAAACCAGGAAGATGGATTTGGTGTCTAAGAAATGGATTTTTAACGTTCTGCTTTCTATGTGTTTCATCGGTAAGTTGACGTCGGGCTACTTTCATTTGGCGAACTTGAATGTTTTTCTACGCCTGGGCTGCGTGAACGAAAAAAAAAAACGGTTCGCTGGTTCCGACTTCTTTTGTGACTTGGCTAGCTTTAGGCTAGGCTAGTAGCGACTTCTCCATAAAATTAGCTTTAGTCTAACATGCCAGCTTATTCGTACAAGGGTGGTTGGTGCTCCGGTTAGCGTCTCGTGATTTTTAGGTGGCACAACATTTTAGTGCTTGCGTGTATGTTAAAAGTATGAATTAGTACCCCCACAATGGGCGGCTGGTTTTGAGCGTGACTACTCGTGATTTTTCAATCGCCTGGAGCGCAACTGCAGCCTGAAATGATATCCCATGTACGATTTTTGTAAATTATACCGACTTGACCATCAACGAACACACACATGTTGTGAAGTTTGCGTTAAATCTCATTTAACCAAGTCCGGACTCTCTGATTACTTCGGCGTGGGGATAACCCGAGAAAAAAAAACGTTTTTTTCTGATATTAATGTAGGGCGAGGTCAGTGGATCTCAAACTATTTTCAATAAGTATGACCTCAAAATATACTTGGCTGTCCAAGTACCATCATAATGACCGTCATTTAAATTCACGAGTGAAAGAGGGTTAATTATTCATCAAAGAAGACTACGGTTCTATTCATAATTAACTGTACAGAATTTTGAATATTACAGTATTTTAAGCCACTGTAACATGTATTTTGATTTTAAAAAATGAAAAAAAAAACGCCCCCCCTAAGGCCACCATTGTCAAGTAGCATATTGATGTAATATCGCTAATTAGAGCGTATTGTAATGTAAAGTGGTTGGTCATGGACAGACACAGCCACCTGTGTTTTCTAAAATGCGCATTGAACAAATTATTTTTTAAAAACATATGTAATAAGCACATATTCACTCATGAGTTGCCAATGGCTCCAACTCAGTTAGTCACCCAACATGCAGCCTGACGAACAGATTAGCCTGTTAAAAGACTACACCAACGCTACATTGTTATTCACTGATGACCATGTCACTCACTTGACCAAATTAATTGATGTCCGAGTAACTCCTTGGGATTTTTGGAAGGGAATCTCTGTTATTTGATGCAAAACTCACTTATTCATAAAGCCATACCTAATATAAGAATATTGCAATTAAGATATTGTGCTTCAATTACAATGTTCTTGTTGTAGGTGCTGCCTGTACTTCAGTGGAAAAGAAAATCTACGTGCACCTCAATAACACCGTCCCGTGCGTGCGACTGCTCAACGCCACGCATCAGATTGGCTGTCAATGTGAGTAAAGCCGCTGTATACATTGACAAGCGTGTACTACTGGCGTGTTAATACTTGAATTCGTCCTCCACCAGCCTCCTTGTCCGGAGACGTGGGGGTGCTCCATGTGCTTGAGTCAGAGGAAAACTTGGACTTTGTGCTGCGTACGGGTCTCCATCCTCCCTATATGGTTATCCTGGAACACCGGCTCTTCACCAGGTACTTCTTTATTTTTTATATATAATATTTTATTTTTTGTACACAATTTTACACAATTAACCATTGACTCTTCCAAAATGTGTTCCATTCAATGTTCTCTCTGTGCCCATAAGGTCCATCATGATGAAGCTGAACAACGGCTCCAGCAGGGTGGCGGGCGTCGCTGTCGTGGCACCAGACGCCAACCCAGCGGAGGGCTTCTCTCCGCACAACACATGTCCCAATGAAAACACAGGTGTCTATTCTTTACTTTCTTTTTTATGTGACTCTTTTTATCCTTGTCATTTGGTTGCTAATAGAGTGCTGTCTAGTAAAAACACATTTCCAATTTGTAACATTTTATCCAAAATCTTTTCCTTATCCGAAACAGAAAAGAATACATTCGTTGAAAAGAAATAGTCAGTGTTCAATGAAGAAGACATATCTGCAGATTTTGTTTTTTTACCCAATTTTTTGTGGGTAATCCAATGAAAACATTCAAGATTAAAAAAAAAAAGAAAAAACACAGTTGTACACGCAGCATGTAACGAATGTCACCCCTGTCAGGTGTGTATTCCGAGACCTACGACCCGGCCTTGGCTCACTGCAGCACGACGGTGTGGAATCCTCTGGGCAACGGCTTGTCCTACGAGGAATTTGACTTCCCCATCTTCTCCCTGAAGGATGACAACAAGACGCGCTTCATCCGGCAGGTAGGTGGCGCAACGTTCATTCCGTCGGTCGAGCAAGAACAATGCAAGTTTGACATTTGTTATCTTCGTCTCTGGCAGTGCTACTTTGATCATAACCGCATGGTGAACGGCAGCTCCCCCCAGTACCCACTATGTGCCATGCAGCTTTTCTCACACATGTCAGCCGTCACCAACACGGCCACCTGCATGAGGAGGAATGACCTCAACCTCGGCATCACGCCGGGTAATTTGGTTCAAGTTAACTTGTGGTTTAGAATTGTAGATAAAGTGTCCTGAAACACTTTCTCCGTGTAGAGTACGTTTGTGACCCACTGGGCGACTTCAATGTTTGGGCCACTACCAGGCCACTCAACAACACAGCCAAAGGGCACAAGATGTCGGAGAGCGTTGTCATCGCAGCAACTCGGGTGAGTAACTTGCCGCATTTTCATGACCATAGGGTGCACCGTATAAAAAGGTGCAGTCTCAGTTACGGGTGCTATTTCTGTATATCTCACATACACAAAGTGCACTGTATTATTGGACGTGGGCATGGTACAACACAGACAAAGCTTAAAAAATATGGAGGCATGCATGCATGCTAGCGTATGTTTTTAAAAAGGGCAACAGCAGCAAAACATCTGTTGTACTTTATTGAGGTATTTAACAATCTCCGCTATTTTGAGAATTAAAATGGGAAAAAATGATGGCAGTTATGATGCCGTTGCACCTTTCCCCTGCACAGCTGGACAGCCGATCGTTCTTCTTCAACATTGCCCCCGGAGCGCAGAGCGCCGCCTCGGGCTTTGTCACCTTGCTGGCGGCTGCCCACGCCTTGCGCAACATCACCCAGGAGGCGCCACCCAACCGCACCATCCTCTATGCCTTCTTCCAGGGGGTCCGTCTGTTGTTGTTAACCTTCTTGTTTTGTTTTGTTTTATATTTAAAATCAACAAACCCAATTTTTATTGACCCGCAGGAAACATTTGACTACATCGGCAGTTCCAGAATGGTGTACGACATGGAGAACGGGCAGTTTTTGGTGGACTTGGACAACATTCACTCTGTGCTGGAGGTCGGACAGGTGTGTTTGAACAAGTAGTTGGGCGATAAAATGAATGCAAAAGCAACAGGTGGTGCTATTAGCCCCAAACGTAGGGCCATCCATACCCAAACTCATTTTCGTTGTGGGCCACATTGTAGTTATGGTTCTCCTCAGAGGGCCTTGATGGACCAAAATAAATGTATGATCACCTCATATTACATATACACAACACACTCGTGAATAAAGTCATTTTGAAATCGGAGGCTAGCAAAAACCGTTCAATTATGACTGCATTTCTTTTAAATGGGGGATTCGTAACAAAAAAATGCTTGCAATATCTCAATGATTCTATAAGTGCAGACAATTTGCAATTTTGATACTTTAGCAAGAAACATGAAGTCAATGCACATAATTTGCTTTTGCGGGCCACGTAAAATTGAGTTTGACACCTGTGTCTTAAAAAGTAACATCACCGTAACATGCCAATCTGCCATGTGCCGAACATCAAATGACCAAACCCTGAAAACGTGAAACTTAGTTGCTGTGTACGCCAGCATAATGAGCAAGACATCAGGGTGATTGTTTGAAGTAATTTGAATGTGTTGCGACTAGGTGGGCATGCGTGCCAACTCACGACTGTGGCTCCACTCTGATCCCGTCTCAAGGAGAAACGGCAGCATTGATGAGGAGGTTTGTCACTTTCCCTTCCTGGCTCGATACATCCCGTAAGACCTCCTCTAGTATCCTTTTTACTTTACGTGACAGGTGAAGACACTGGTGGAGAACATCCGGTCGGCCGTGATGACTTTAAACGTCTCGGCGAGCGAGCCGAACGTGTCACAGCCACTGCCGCCCTCGTCCTTCCAACGTTTCCTGCGATCGCGGCCCATCCCCGGCGTGGTGATCGCGGACCACGAGTCGTCTTTCAGTAACAGGTGAAAAAGTGGTTTGGGACATCTTGTGTGAACTTAAAGGAAACATTATGCAAGTCAACCTCCCATAAAATATACTGTATGTTTCCTTTGCAGGTTCTATGAGAGCATGTATGATAACGCAGAATACATGCGCGTCTCATACCCACAGAACATGACCCAAGAGGAGCAGCTGCAGTTTGTCACAGACACGGCCAAGGTCTACTTCGGCGCGGTCCAAAAAAAAAAAAAAAAAATGCTCCATTTGCCACAATGTGCTCGTAGTAAAGGTTGCGTGTGTGTCGTTTAGGCTCTGACCGAGGTGGCCACCGTGCTCGCTCGAGCTTTGTACAAGCAGGCTGGAGGAGACCAATCACAGCTCAGCGGCATCAACGCTGACCCCCAAATAGTAATGAGTGTTTCCTTCAGTTGTACTTTCTCAGGTGCAAATCAGTTGACGTGTATGTAAACGTTTTAGTTTTTGTTTTGCAACGTGTGTTTGTTTCCTCTCCCTCAGGTGACTCAGATGCTTTACTCATTCTTGATTCAGTCAAATAACAGCTGGCTGCAGCAGATAGTACCCAGTGACCTTGCCGGCCACCTGAGTGAGTTGTTCAGGAAAAATGGCCTCCTTCTTTTCATGCATTGAGTTCATGAGACTTGTCCGTGCGTCATCTGGTCATCCAATTTTTACTTTTTCGGGGCAGTTTTGTAGGGGATGCGCTTCTCAAGTAGATCCCGCACACAGCAACTAATTGATCCACTATATAAGGAAATAAAATATTATTTTAGACTATTAGAGTGGAAAAAGCACTTGCGTCCATTAAGGCCTCTTCGCCTTAATGGATGAATACAATTCAGTGCCTTACCTTTTAAAAAATACAAAAAAAACCCCACAATCTTCTACCTGTAGATGAACATTATCATAATGCATTTGTCCAAATAAAGGTCTGTCTAATAAATACTTTATCCTTAATTAAAAAAAAAAAAAAGCACACCAGTCACTCTGTTGTTGAGCATATAAAGTCACTATTGAAGCAAATATCGTCGTCAACAGTTGAAGGATACGGGATGGGATGTATGTTGGCGGTTCATTTGAAATGGAGTCTGCGTCGTGTGCTCCAGAGAACACGGCCACAAACTTCTACGTGGGGGTGATGCTGCAGTCGAGCGAGCCCACACACCTGGTGCAGCACCTGCTGGCCAACCTGACTGGCAACGTGGTCAACGTCACCCAGCAAGACTGCCAGAACCAGCGGATGGAAGAGAGCGATACCGTGAGCAAACACGTGAGTGGTCATCATCGAGATTGACAGCGCTCTCCTGTCAAGAGCGTTAACGAGCATTGCTCCTTTTTATCAGACGTACACATACACGTGGGTTCAAGGTGCGGTGCCGCCCAACGCCACCGAGAGGGAGGGCTACTGCGTCCGCTCCACCGTGCACCTCTCTAAGGCCGTGTCACCCGCCTTTGACCTACGAGAGTTCACCTCCACGGACTACTCCACCTGGACAGAGTCCCGCTGGAAGACAATCAAGGGCCGTATCTTTCTGGTGGCCAGTCACGAGCTGGAGGTAGGAACCTACTTTACACCTCTCGTATTTGCATTATTATTTGATGCTCTCAAATGCAACGATATTCAGTCTTCTATAACACTCCAATGTACAGTATAGAAATCAAATATAATTTTGTAAAACGCTGATGCTGCTTACGGTATTTAATATACTGCACAACTCTAAAAGAACCGAAAACTGTCTCCCTTTCCTGTTCAGCTGCTTGGTTATGCAGAGTGGAATATCTTGTAGCATTTTTTTCCCCCCAGCTTTAACTCCTGTTTCCACTGACTAGATGGTGACTCTGGGTGTGGGTGTGGGCGTGCTGCTCACCTCCCTGCTGCTCACCTATGTGATCAGCTCCAAAGCAGACATCCTATTCAGCTCGCAGAGGGAGCCCACCAATGCCACCTACTGACCACAAGTACCACAACTACAACTAGTACTACTACTACTACATTTACCTGGCTGCAGACCCGGACCATGTTGATTCAATCCAAATCACACAAGCAGGTAAAACGCCCCTCTTGAAGGTTGTTTTAGACCTCAAAATGGCGGCAGAGTGTCCCAAAAACGTCTGGTCAGGTACCAGCAGCAAGCCTCGAAAAGGATGTTCATAGTTCTTTTAAATTAATGTTCCTGCTTTTTATTTTGGTTTGTACGAGCAATGACAAGTATGTGTTGGCGTCGATAGTTGACTGTGTGTACATGAGCAATGATAAATGAGTGAGTGTGCGTGAACGCGATTGTCGTGTGCAATAGTGTAATCTTTGTTGTAAATAATTGTAATTATCGCCACTGATAAACCACTTTTCTCTCGAGTCACGTTGAACAAGAAGGTGGCATTGTAGATGTAAAGCTGGCACGTGTCCTAGAACAACGATGTGTTTCGCACTGCTTACTTCCATTTAGGTTGGACATTTTTTGTTCTTTGGTTGTAGAGTCATAATTTCACAATTGTTGACGTCAGCGGCAGGAACCTTTAACCTGCTGTGATACCTTGGTGACAAAATAAATGCTGCTTTTACACTTTGTACTTTCTTCAATGCATAAATTACACAAACTAAAGTAATGAAGTATTTACTACTATTATGGGGCATATTTAATGTTTTCAACACACTCCATGTATTATATTTAATCTTCTCAAATCGAACGTACATAATGTTCTGTACTACGTTACCATATTTATTGTTCTATATCGCTAACCTTAATGTTGTGTGCAACTGTAATCGAGCATACTACATATTCCAAGCTCTAAGGTGCTTGGAATATGTCTAATTGTAAAAATTTGTTTATCTTCAAAATTGCTTTTGAATAGTTTTTTTAATGTACATTAATAATGGCAATGTGTTTTTCATTCATTTTTAATTTGATGGTAAATGTAATGTAAAATATTTTCAGACAACTATTTCTTATGTCTATGAATTTGTAATTTTAATAAATTTTGAATTTCTGGGAATTTCTCCATTGTGAGACAAAGGTTATCTTATCTTACAATTAGTAAATCGACCTATAGCATGTACGTTTGTTTATTTTGTATTTAATGTTTTTATTTAATTTACGTGAACATTAGCAACAACGTTTGACAGCTGTTCGACAGTCTGGGGTCTCCATTGTCGTATTTTACTGAAAAACGTTTCTAAATGAAAACGTTTTTCCATATTACTACCAAAAAAAATAATAATAATTTTAGCTGAATTTACCATATACTATGGAGTTAAATGAAATGCAACTTGCTATGATTACTGTATATTAAATAAAAAATGAAATTGACGAAAATTAAGGCAGCTCAACTGTATCGTAATATAATTCACAATGATATATGTACAAGTACGGTACTTGCAATTATTCGCGGATTTTTGCTATTTGGGACCTGACCCGTCCCGAGAATCCGCAAATAACTGGGGCTCGCCCATTTGTGTACATCTTTTTTGCAGCTGCAGCAGGATTAGTTAACGTCTAAATTTTATGGTAATTATGACTTAACAAAAATGATTTAATAATTACCCCAAATAAACTTGATGTTAGTGTTTTTAGTGATTTTTTTTTAACACTCAGTTGCTATTTAAACACGGTGCATAGGCCCGCCTCTTCCGCTTTACCTCCCAGTGGGCAAGCAGCAAGGATGGGCGGGGCAAAGAGACTGAGGCGGAGGGCGGGGCTTCCACGGCCGAGCGGAAAGAAAGTGGAAAGTGAGACAAATAGCTGCATGGACTCTCTGCTATAAGTAAGTAATCATTTTACATTTCAAACGTCTTCGAATCCGAATGGCGGGGTCACGAGTACCCGGAACGAGCGATGGTGTTGTTGGGTTGATGGAAAAGCTTTCCGAGAGAAGAGAAGGAGAAAAAGGGGCCAGGTTAGCTTCGTGGTGGATGGGCTCACCAAACAATGGTGGAGAGGACTAGATGGTCGCCTCCTCTCTTTTCTTCTTTTTCTCCCCCACTTGTTCAAACCGGAGCCAAGCAACATTAGGAGGCTGCTTGTTATCCTCCCACGCGTATGGCCACGTAAGCTTCCACTTTTTAGCCGGGAATGAAGCGACAAAAACGGGGGAGGGGGGGGCGATGAAGTCAAAATTGGGCCGACGCTGGAGCACAGGTTGGCCGTAGAAGTCATTCATTTAGCGGGTACGAGAGCAAGCAGTTCGGGGTGTGCAACTGTGCAGTCCATTGTTCTATCACCACTGAAGACTGGGAGTACTTTCCCCCCCCTCCCTACCTTCTTATCTGCTCTGCGCATCTTTGCAAACATTTTGCTACCAAAATGCCCGGAGAAAGCCGCCGACCGTTCAAATGTTGGCCTACCAACATGTATGTGTTTGGCGAAGAACTGTGAAGTGACTCCAGTGATTCCTCAATTCAGAACTCCATATTACACATTATATGACTTTTACACTCACTATAAAGAGTGTTTGAGCTGCATTTTCTTTGAGGGAAAAAAAAGGCCTCATGGAAAATATTTAATTTTTATTTAGAACGTGGGTCCAAACTCCGGTCCTCGAGGGCCCCTTTTTTGCATGTTTGTTTGCCTCCTCCAGCATACCTGATTCAAATGATCATCAGGATCGTTATCAGGCTCCTGCAGAGCTTGTTGATGAGGTGATCACTTGAATCGGGTATGTTGGAGAAGGGATACCACGCGTATGGCCACGTAAGCTTCCACTTTTTAGCCGGGAATGAAGCGACAAAAACGGGGGAGGGGGGGGCGATGAAGTCAAAATTGGGCCGACGCTGGAGGACAGTTTGGCCGTGGCCGGAGCCAAGCAACATTAGGCGGCTGCTTGTTATCCTCCCCCGCGTATGGCCACGTAAGCTTCCACTTTTTAGCCAAGAATGAAGCGACAAAAACGGGGGAGGGGGGGGGACGATGAAGTCAAAATTGGGCCGACGCTGGAGGACAGTTTGGCCGTGGAAGTCATTCATTTAGCGGGTACGAGAGCAAGCAGTTCGGGGTGTGCAACTGTGCAGTCCATTGTTCTATCACCACTGAAGACTGGGAGTACTTTCCCCCCCCTCCCTACCTTCTTATCTGCTCTGCGCATCTTTGCAAACATTTTGCTACCAAAATGCCCGGAGAAAGCGCAACATCTTGCATGTTTTAATGTGGTATGGTATGTTATGGCTTTTAGGTTTTAACATGGTCTGTTTAATATGTACAGCATACAGTGTGAGTGTGACTTTGGCCTACTTCAGTTTTACTGTAATATTTTAAACAATTTTTACTACTTTTTTTTTACTTATTACGTTTGGACTTTTAAAAAAAAATTGGGACAGTTTTGCTTAAGTTTTATCGGATGTTTTACACTTTTGCTT